AAGAGCTCTTTAATATTATGTTCATGTAATACATTTCTCACAATTCCCTGGTTGGGGTTTTTGTCATTCTGAAGAAGGGAAAAATAAGTAAATATAAAAGTCGGCCTATTCTTAATTCTTGTAGAGTCAATACGTTTCATCGCTAGTACGTGTACCGCCGTATCGTTGTAAAAGAAAAATTGCAATAAATTGCAATAAACACTCAACAGTAGATCAACCTCATGCGAACTGAATGAAATTATGAATTTATATATTTCCAAAACAATATCTAGCAGTTGAGAAAGTATCAACCCATCATAATGGTTATTTAACAAGGATTTTAGAAAAGAAGCCCCCTCTCATTCGTTCCTAAATTCATTTTTGCAGTCAGTAACAAATCGTGGGGGAGGAGTGGGGTGGTCTGGGGCCTGGCTTTACCGGCTCCGGAAAATTGTGGGGGAGGGGTGGTAGCCTGGCTCCGCCGGCTCCTTGCTCCTCATGTTGCAGAACTCTCATTTCATATCTACTCCTATGAACACGTCATTCAGATGAATATATATATACTCTTGCGCAACTTTGCGTTTTTTTGCGAGATGGAGAAGACATAACAAGACGCCTTACAGGCGTTCACTGGGTTGCCTGTATCATGCACAATGCAGAGGCCTCGTTGCAATGTTAATCAAAAGATAATGGAATGCTTCACAGAAAAGAATGCTTTCGTTAAACTTGTCCAAGACGATCTTCTCCCTTAAGGTATTCTATACATGATATTAAAATATTTGCAGGTTCTGCTCTTTTTTAGGCCACAAAATGAACAGTTTTGCGTTATGCATGTCACACAGAATGTCACACTACTTAGTTGTGAATTTGGTCTTGCGCCATGACGCACAAGATCAAATATCCCAGTGTTCTCTGTCAGAATCACCAAAATAGTGCAATAGTACACAGAAGTCTTCACGGCACCACCCAATAGTCCTTTGCGAGCATATGATGGTCCAAGTGCAGTAAATGTTCTTGTCAGTAAACTTTGCAAAGAAAAATAGGAAAAAGACGTCTACTCTTCGCGGATCGATATTGCTTATATGAGTGATAACGTCTGATCGAACTTAAACGGGCTTATAAGCAACAGTAGAATAGGAATACATATTTTACTTGCCTTATTAAAGATTTAAATCTATTAAAAAATGGATTTAAAAAAAAGAATTTTTTGTGGATAAGACGGGATTCGAACCCACCAAAAGAAATTTAAAAACACGATTTCACTTTGCCATACCCCCGAGACATCCGCAGAGCTGAGGCGGCGTATGGACTTCGGACCTGACGGCGATTA